AGACAAGGAGATTAAACAGAAACCATTGTTCATTCTCTGTTAGTTGATTCTAAATACCCTGTAATACTGTCATTCCCTTGAACAGTTTTACATTGTCTTGAGATGTTTGATGCCAGAGTATACGAAGTTATACTCAAAGATTTCAAGGAAAGAGACACTATGGTAACTACTTTTATGTCGGGATTATCTTGTGGTTAAACACTATTTTGCTTAAATGGTTATGTGTTGACCTGCGCTGTTTTGTTGTTATGCCCTTTTATCTCAATCTCTTTTTTTTATTATTTACTTTTTAATTTTTATCCTTTTTTTTTTTGGTGTTTTTCGTTTTTATCGGTACCAGGAATCAAACTCATGACTGCCTGCTTGCAAGGCAGGCACTTATGCCACTGAGCTAAATCCCCAGACCCCTATTTTTATCCTTTTAATTAAGGGGACAATAAATTTAAAAAAATAGCAGGATATATTATAGTAACCCACTTTGATTTCCTATTAACTTGATTTGAAACCCTGTATTGCCCTCACCATCTTGTTTTGACTGATTTTCCTCTATTCTGTTTTGCTTGATAGTACCAAGTTTGAAAGTATAGGCAACAACAATAAGATTCATTATGACGCCCATTCTGGTTGACTATTATCTTCTTTTGAAATCCTGTACTGTCTCCAATGTTTTGGTTTTTTTGGTTTTGTTCTTTACTGTTTTGTTCAATTTTGTTATAACTGATGATATAGGCAATTCTTTTTAAGACAGCAAGAAGCATTATGGTAACCATTGTTGGTCACCTTGTATTTTGTTTTTACATTATGTATTATGTCCATCCTTTTGATTTGACTGACTCTGTTCTGTTATGTCACATTTGGTTTTACTCTCTTCAAAAAAAAGTAATAAAAACTGTGGGAGTAATAAAACCCCAAATGTGTAACTGTCATTGTAAAAAAGAGATGAAAAGAAAGTGCTCTAAAGGACATAACTGCATGTATATTTAAGTGTATAAGATAGATAACCATATTACTGAGTTTTGTTGGATCATTGAACAGAACTGTTTGCAGTCTCACTGTTGGAATGTCCACTTTATATGCTTTAATTTTGTAACTTGAACAACTATTTCTAAGATGACAATATGTAATCTATTAACTAGCAATTTCCTACTGTTTAGCTTTTTCTGAAATTCTGTATAACTTGTACCCTTTTTCTGTTTTTTTTCTTTTTCTCCTTAAAATTAAAAAAAAATCTTGTATAGTACTATATGTGAATTTTTAGAATTTAAATCACTTTTGTTATTGCTATAAATTGTATCTTTTGCTTTTGCAACTAGTTCTGCATTAAGTATATTTATACGTAATTATTTATGGGCTTCTCTTATTATTTCCTTTAAACAATTCTCAATTGTAATCCCTGGAACAAAGAGTAGAGACATTCTAAGAGTTGTCAGTATATGCTGACAACTGTCATCCACGGAGTTTATTTCTGTTTTTTTGTACTGAGGGTTGAATCCAAGGCTTTTGTAGTGAGCTACATCCCTACTCCCATTTACTTATGTTACTAGAAATTTAATTCAGGGCCTTTTTACTAAGCTACATCTCCAGTCCTTTACATTTTTAAAAAATGATTTGAGCATTCTTGCTAAGTCTCTCAATTGCCAGCTGTGCTTGAATTTGTGATCCTCCTACTTCAGCCTCCCAGAGTGCAGGAGTTACAGGTGTGCATCACCATGCCTGGCTAATGCAGCTTTTAGTGATGTTAATACATGCATAGATTTTGTAAAACCATTGCCATAATCAGGACAGAATAATGCTATATCACCCCCAACGAACTCCTTTCTACTACTCTTTAACTTTCACCCCCTCGTAGCTCCTAGAGGATTATGGAATATTTCATTCTATAGTATGAAATTAACTGGTAACTATCAGCTAATCATCCAAATTAAAATAACTCATTCAAGTATTTTTAAGATGTTGTAGTAGCAGCCAAGACTGGACTCCAAGGCAGGTGGATCTAGGTAGGGTTCCTCTTAGAGTGGTACTTGAGTCTACTCCCATGGGGGCTACAAGACATGCTGGGATTCAACCACTGGGATGCAAGGAACCAAAGACTAGGCTGAATAGCATTAGTGAACATGAAATTATTTTATAGAGCTGATCCTCAGACAGAAGTCTAAATTGCAAGGCTCAAGGACTTGGGATGGATAAGGGTATAACATGGGTGAGATAATTAAGATACACATCCCTGGCAGAGGTGGCCTCTTGATTTGATGGGACAGATGAGGAGAGGAGGAAGTGGGCATCTTCCCATTTTGAGCCAGAAAAGGCCAGGGGTATAAGCAGGTATTCCAGGCTCTGGGACAGGAGGGCTTCACAAGGACCCAGCTAGACATTGAACTCTGCTAAGTAAGCAGGTGACCAAGCAAATCTTCTAGTCTAATTTAAAGGACTGATTAGAAACCAAGCTGGCTGCCCAGTGACCTAGAATACATTTGAAAGTTAGGTGCTTTCCCATGTGACTCTAAGACAGTGGTTCTCAAACTGTAGCAAATGGCAGAGTGCTTCCAAAACCAGGAGTTTTTATTTTTTATCATTTTTTTTATTGGTATCGGGGATCGAATTCACGACTGCCTGCTTGCAAGGCAGGTGCTTATGCCGCTGAGCTAAATCCCTAGCCCCAGGAGTTTTTATTAAAACCCAGATGGCTGGGCTCTACCACCTCAGTTCTGATTCAGAATGTTCAAGTTGAGGAGAGTGAGAATTTTCAACAAATTGCCAAGGCTTCCGCAGCTCTTTGAGGGGCCACACTTTGGGAACCACAGTTCTAAGGCAAAGAAAATACTGATATTAAAATAAAAATCACACTCATATCATTCAGCATGGGTGGAAAGGGGGCTTTTAAATGTAAGGCAGGGCTTTGCTCTTCCATGTGGATTGGCTTCAAAGAGCTAACCCTGCAGTTTGAGATGTTTTGTGCTTCCAGGAAAGCACATAAGCTAGGAGGGAGAGGGTCTCTCTTTAGAAGACCAAAGCATCAATAAATTCTTGTCTCAGTAGAATTTTCTTGAGCATAGGTAATACTTGTCAATGTTTTAGGATGTATAGGTGTCAAACTATGCAATTCTCTGCTGTAGTTTTTTTTTTTTTTTCTTTTTATTTTAGGGCCAACCCTCTCTGCTTATTTGAGGAAGGACTTTTTTTCCCTAGTAGTGGGGAGTGAACCTAGAGCCTTTGCACTGCGCTATATTACCAGGTATAGATAGATAGCGAGAGAGTAACTAAATTGCCCAAATCGGGCTGGAATTTGTGATCCTTCTGCCTCAACGTCTCAGATTGCTGGAGATTACAGGCCTGCATCACTATGTAGATCAGTGCTGAGGTTTTTGCGGGGGAGGAGAATGGGGGTGCAGATTAGAGAGGGTTGGCTTTTTTGGTTTTGTTTTATCTCATTGTTCCGACTATAGTTCTAAAATGTGATTGCCAGACCTGCAACATTAGCTTTGCCCAGGCATTCATTTTGGTTGGATCATTGAACACAACTGTTTGCAGTCTCTCTGTTTGAATGTTCACTTTGTATGCTTTGATACTGTGACTTGAGCAACTATCTCTAAGACGATAATGTGTAATCTATTAATTGGTGATTTCTTACTGTTTTTTTTTTTGTAGTTCTGTATTACTTGTACACTTGCACCGCTTTGTTTTGTTTTGTTTTTTCTCTTTTTCCTTTTAAATAAAATTTAAAAAAAATGCAAGTACCAGGCCCACCCAAAGACCTGCTGAATCTGGTCTGAGGTCTGGTATGGGGTCAATAATTTGTATTTTTACCAAGTTTCCAGGTGATGCTGATGTTGGGGCTGCTGGTCCCAGGCCACACTTCAATGAAAAACCACAGCTATAGATAAAAATGAAAGATTTAGAAGCCTAGAAATCTGTTCTAAGAGATTTCCTGTCTAGGTTGCTTTGCTACTGCATTTGCTGCATCCCCGTCCCACCTTCATCCTTCAAATGCCAGCTCCATTACTTAGGAGTTTTGAGACCCTCTGTGTAATCACTCTAAATTGCAATTTCCTCATCTGTAAAATGGGGGTAATAGTACCTACTTCTTTGTATCCTTATGAAAATTAAACAACATGTAGCTAAAAACTTAGCACTATGTCGTGCTTGATAAGTGCTAGTGGTTATAGTTTTATTACTATTAAACACCTGCCATTTCACTAGCACGAACCCCTTTTAAGTTCTCTTCTTTGTACATCTTCAGAATGCTCCTCTTCAAAAGTGGATGTTAAGAAAAAAAAGTGGATGTTTCCCGACAAGTTAAAATATCAAGGCACACCATCTTTAACCTCTAGGATGTTTCTGTGGTTGCCAGGATCACTTGGTTGAGAGCAACATGCTTATGAAATGGGACCCAGGACTGATCAAACGGGAGTAGGGAAACAGACCAGGGAAAATGGAACCATGCAGGGAGAAGCAAGGGAAAGAGTGGCTGAAGGAGGAAGCAGTTGGAGAGGGCAGTAAGAGGTGGGAGGCAGGCTGTCAAAGAAAATCTACCTCCTTTGAAAGTTCCTTCAGGGGCAGCCCCAGGGACAGACTCCAGGGCTACATTAGGCCCCAGGGGATCTGGCAGCGTTCCTGTTGCAAGTAGCGCAGTGGGTGAACATTTGGGTGAAGTGAATTTGGATTCAAAAGTGGCTTTGTCTTCAGCGCGACCCCTATTTGGCAAATATTCGGGCTACAGTCCTGCCAGGGACATGGTCCTTTTTAGTGAAAGTCTGCTATGTGCTTTCTTGAGACTTCCTGGGCTCTTTAGGAAGAGCTTTTATCTTATCTGGGTAGTGCAGCCCTGGTCCCTTGCCCAGAAGAGACTGAGATCTTTGCAACTGTATTAAATAGAAGAAACAAAAGCAGCAAGTTAAGGCCCTGTGGGTACGGCTAGCCAGCCAATGCGGTCCGGCCGCTCCCCGGCGGAGTGGTACTATGATGACAGTAGCCAACCAGAGCGCTCCATGCAAATGAGGATACTGTATCCGCACCAGCAGCTCCAGTGCCGCCTGGTTGTTATAGTGATAAACTGAGGCCTTGCCTCTTGGCTTCTCCGAGAAAGAAAGGGGCGGGGGTGCGGAGGTTAACCTCTTTGCTTCCCCAGGCAAGACAGAAAGAAGGGAAAAAGAAGGGGGATGGGTAGGAAAGAGAAAAATACGTGACAAAGAAAACATTCTCTGCCTGGGAGGAGACTCCCAGAGGGTATAGAGCTGGAGGGACAGTCACTGGCCATGCCAGTACTTACCACTGATGCTGAGTCAGAAACAGGTATCCCAAAATCCCTTTCCAATGAGCCTCCCTCAGAAACCATGGAGGAAATAGAGCACACATGCCCACAGCCTCGACTGGTAAGTAAAGACAAAGGATGCAAATGTATGCGTGGCTATGGCACAAAAGAGTTCCTTATGCGCCCGCAGCCAGGGAGGAAAGGATGCTTAGAGGATTTTCATGTAAATGAGAATGGAGCTACCGCCTAATCCTCCTCAGCTGTTTACACTTAGCTTCTATACCGGGCGCTGCTCTCAGTGTACAAAGCATTATTGTATTGGCTGGATAGGAAACGGGCTGCTTGGGATATGCTATGTGTTTGTGATTTGGGAGGATGGGATGGCCTGTTTCCTCTTAGGTGTATTCTCATCTGGAGGTAAAAATCCTACAGTGCAATTTTAAAATGGTTTTCTCTTTGCAAAGCTTGCAATGAGTTCCTCATTAAGTTCGAAATTCTAGTTCAGAAATGCTTTGGTCCTCGACTGATTTTTTTTTTGTGTGTATGTGTGCCTAATGACAATTTTGGAGGAAATGAAAACGACACAAAAGTAAAACTTCCCCATTCGGTTGACATTTTCGAAATACACAAATAAATAAGTCCTTCGAGGAGGTATTTAGAAATGCCGTGCATTTAAAATGAATTGTAAGAATGTCCGGAGTATGCCATGAAGGTTTCCATTCAGGTAGTGGAAATCCGGGGAGGCTACATTTATTTAGAATGGGGATCATACTTTTAATAATGAAAATGTGGAAACGGGGCACTCAGTGCTTCCTTCATCGCAGTAACTGATATCCCAAATCTGCTCAGTTTCTCTACCACTCCTAGTGATCCCTTAGGTAGATGTGGAAGTTTGTTCTCCAATACTTCAGCATGTGCCCCCAAGGAATCAAAAACACCAAATGGGTGATGGTTTTTTCTGTGGCTGAAAGTTCCTTAGGGCCCCGGGAGACCCAGCTTTGACCCCCAAAATTCTCAGAGACACTCTAGAGCTATCCTTTCTTAGTAATTTAAAGCTGAAAGGTGCAATATTTCGATTGGCTGTGGAGTTCTACCCTGGGAAGAGTGTTTTTGTTTTTTTTTTTTTAAGATTTTGTGATGTAACATTTTCTGTGAACTCCCAAAATGAGGGTTTACAGCTTTCAAAGCCAACCCATCATGGATGGAACTGTTATTTCTTAATAAGGTTTAAAGGCAGGCTTAGAACAATTTCCTAAAAGGCAGAAAAACAAGGGAAGTTGTATTAGAACTTTGTGGGCTTTTATTCACTGTTTCTATTTTTTGCAATTTTTTTTGTCTTTTTCCTTTTTTATCGGTACCCAGGAATTGAACTCACGACTGCCTGCTTGCAAGGCAGGCGCTTATGCCGCTGTGCTAAATCCCCAGCCCCCGCAATGTGTTTTTAAAGGGTAGTTTAATATTAATTGCTTCACAGCCCTTTAGCCAGTGACTGAATGAAATATGCAATGTAACAACTATGTTTTTGTGGGATAAAGCATCCCAAAAAGTGTGTTACTAAGGGATTCCTTTGGGTCACTTAATAACTCAAGAGTTTAGCAATGGGAAAAAATTGGCTACTAGAAGTGTGTTATAAGATCAGCCAAAATTGTTTAAATTTGTATCACATATTCATGGACAAATGTAAAGGGCAGAAGCAAGGCAGCATCCAGCTCTAATTGATGTATCATTTCAGCCTCTGTGTCTTTTTGTCCTTCCCTTGTCACCTTTTAGTTATTTTGCTCCTTGTTGCTTCTCCCTGAGAGGGGTGGGCAGAGAAAGTCAAGAGAGGGAAGAAAGTCCAAGTTGCTTTCCTCTTTCACTTTGGACAGCTCAACCCAGGTGATAACTCAGAAGAATCTTGTGAAGTTGGCAGGGTTTATAGCCTCAACTCATTTCCACTTTAGAAACTAGAGAGTGAGTGACTTCCCCAAGGGTCACATTGCTTGGAAGGGGCAGAGGCAGGAATTAGAACCCAAAGCAATATACCTCAAAGAAGATTTTTCCCTTACAACACACTCTCACCATATGCTTTTTCCCTCTTTTTGGCCATTCTAGTTAAAAGTGTGTGTGTGTGGTTGTTAACACCAGCACAGGTATGATAAGGACGCACAGAAGTTGAACTATTGAAGCAATTGCTTTGATCTACTTTGATTAAAATTTTTCCATGTTGTCCTGGACTACTGAAATTGGCTCTACTTAAATAGGAGCTTGCAGCCAATTTATAAACCACTACTAATTTTCTGAAGTGCCTTTTCTCTTATTAGCAGACTTTGATCATTGTAGGATTAGTTATATTCCAAATTTAGATTTACACATCATAGATCACCTTTCCTTTGCTAATGATTTGACTTTAATAACTAAGGCACATGTTAACTGCTTCACAAAGTTTGCAGATTAAAGAGAGTGAGTGGCACTGAAAATAGCCTTTCTTTTTGTGGTTTTCAGTAGTTTCTGTTGACCTTGCAGATTTAATATCCTCGTCTTTTGAATTCTATAAATTCCGTGTGCCTCCCCCTACTAAGGCATATCACCCCTAATCACATGTTAGTCATTCACATCGCAGCCATCAACAGGGTGGGGCTACCGAGGTACTTAACTAACTTTGGAAAGTACATGAAGGATTGGAAAGGGACCTGCTTCACAACAAAACTCCATCTTTAGGTTCTCCTTCCCAGGATGTCAGATTCCTTCACTCAGGTAAAACAAAGGGGAAGGTGGCATCCCTGAAAAAACAAAACACGGTTCTAAGGCAATAAATATTTTAGAACCCTGTAAGGAGCAATTGATAATGGTATGAATATGATTAAATCATATTTCAAGGGTAAATTTTTCCGAGCTTCCCCAACTGCTCTATTCTCCATCAGAGGAGTACACAGGGCAGGAGTACATAGAATGCTACAACACTGCAGAAGAAATTAGAAAAGCAATAACAGAAAATTATTTAGGTTTTGAGGTAGAGCCTACATGGTAAGAATGTAACCTTATTGTTCTTACCACCTTAACATAGTGCTATGGTTTGAGATGTTTTTGAGAACTCTTCCTCTCATTCTTATAATGTGTATTCTTAATGCTTGGCTGGTTTTCTGTTCTTTGATATCTTCTTGCTTAAACATGATGTGAGGTGACTCAAGAGCTTGACTGTCAAGGAGAAAGGCTGAATGGCCTTGGGCGATATGATGCAACAGTTCATCTACTTCCTAAGGGATGTGGTCAAGAACTGTCCTCATATCTACCTGACCCTCAGATTATTCAGAGACAAATTCTGTGGCCCCAGAAGTGCTCCATAAGCCCTTTCTACCAAGGCTCAGCCACTGGTGAAAGCTGTGTGCTTCAGGATTTGGTTAATGACCTTGGTCAAGTTCTTCCAGGGATGCATTCTGTTGTCAGAAGGAAGTTGTAATTCTAGCCTGCAATAGTCACTTCCATGAAGATGAATGTGCCATGGATCAACTGAGAAGGCCTTGGGGAAAAAAAGGTTGGTTCAATATGCCACATTAGCAGGAGTTCATTTCGGGCTTTACTTCAAAGGGGAGCAGTGCCAGGAGACTGCTGTCTTGCCAAAGGTGCATTGTGTCAGTTGTGATGTAGGACGTTCACCCACTGGTACTCAGAAAGATGACTGGATCTCCAGACATTTCTATCCTAGTATCACCATCTATTTAACCACTTAGAGCAGCATGCATTTTGAAAATGAGACATGCTTCATGTGCTGTATTGGTGAGAATAAACAAACACAAGCTTCCTTGGGCATTTACTGTGGTGAGCTGGAATTCTGCCCAAGATTATTATTAGACTTATTCCTGCTGATCTCTCTCCAAATTCAAATCCATTTCTTGCAGATTGATAATAGTCAGGTGTACTGAGCATGGAATCAATGAATTCATTTATCCCATTCTTTTAAGTTTGGTTTCTCCAAGTCCCCAGTTGCCTAATGCTAAACTCCATATGGATGAAATAAACCTAAGTCAAATATAAGATAGTTTCTTTGCTTTATTTCTGGTACTTGAACACACAGTGTACATATATGATCATTCAGACAGTGAGAGGAGATTTAAAGTATTCAGTGATGCTTTAGAAGGAAAGTGAGAGAAAACTTAGGTGCCCGAAACCCTACCAACAGGATCTGCAGGGTCCAGGTGTTTAGCAGTGACCAAACGTAGCAATTCACCAGGTTCTGTAGAGAGAAATAAAAGAAGTGAACCCAAAGCCCCTGCCCTTAAAGATCATTTCCATTTAATAGAAGGCAGAGATTTGGTGTGTGGAAGCATGCAAGGATGCTACAATCCCTTAAGAGCCTTTTTGTAAGTTTGTCTTTAATGTGTTGGACTTTCTTAAAGCTTGTATTTTATCACCTGAGCAGCAGTACTTGCCAGCAGAAAGGACTCTGTTAACCTGATCCCCAAGTTAAGACAAGTTCCAACATTTGAAGAAAAGATTCCACTTGGTGACCCCAAAGTATATGTTGGGACACAGAAAGGATGAATGTTTTTGAGGGGCCCTCAAGCCTGGCTTGTGGGTAGCATACTCCAGCCTCTGCACCAGTGCTGTGCTATAGAAACACAATTTGAGCCACATACATAATTTTAAATTTTCTAGTAGCCAGCTTAAAAAGTTTATAAAATCCAGGCAAAACTAATTTTAATAATATATCTTATTTAATGCAATATATACCCAATATTATCATGTCAATGGGCAATTAATACAAAAATTACTGAGATACTTTACATTCTTTCCTTCATAGTGTCTGAAATCCAATGTGTAATCACACTTCTAATGTGTCTTAATTCAGACTAGCCAATATCAAGCACCAGTAGTCACATGTGGCTTTAGAAGGAGCTTAGATACCTGCCTGGCCAGCCCTATGTAGGATGAGCTCCGAGAGGCCCATAATAATAAATGTTTTTCATGTTGCATGGTACACACATACATATATGTAGTCATAATTAAAACAAAAAAACTTCATCTGTCACACCTTTATATTTTATGATATCCTCTTCTGTTTCAGTGTGGAGGCTGTTGTAAGAGTCTAGATGAGTTAAGCTTAGTTATGTCAGGAAGAGGGAAGGACATTTCTGCATGGACTTGCAGATGTTAAGGGGGAAAATGCCCCATTTTTAATCTTTGCTCCTGAGAGCCCGACAGGGTACGGGAAGGCTGTTTTCTGGCTCAGGCAGTGGGTGCCATCACTGAAATAGGAGCACTTGGAGACAAAGATTTTGGGAGAGGATATTGGTGGCACCATGGAAATTTTCATTTGGAGGTGTCTCATTGATGTTTGGTTCTGAAATTCCTGAACCAGAGAATTCTAAACTGGAGGTATAGATCTAGGAGACAGCAGGATGGAGGAAATGGATTTGACATTGATAAGAGGGAAACTGAGTCACTTTCTGGACTGAGAAGGAAGTGGATTGAAATGATTAGCAGAAAGGCTGCCTCAGGATAATCTCACCACAGGGCTAATTCTAGAAAGTAACTGACCCCAAGCTTTCCTGTCAGACTCCTGGCGGAGACAGAAGAAAAGTGTAATTAAAGCTATTAGAACCTTCCTTACAGCTGCCTATCTCTACATGAAATATGGTTCGCTTAATCTACTATATTTCAGAATCTTTCCAGGATGGAATCCTGAGGAAGATCATTTAAAGAGTCAGTAGAGGAGGGATCATGAAAAGAAGAAAGAGGTTATTTTTCAAATGGCTAGGAGGTCAGTGAACTAAAAGCAGGGTAAGTTTCATGGAGAGAATGTTCAATAAAAACAAATGCAGCAGAAGGATCAACTGAGATCTAAAGAAAGAAGGACCCTGCATGGTGGTGCTATGCTGGGTAATTCCAGCACCTGGGAGGCTGAGGCAAGAGGACTGCCATGAGTTCGAGGGCATCTTGGGGTATGAGTTCAAGAACAGCCTGAAATACATAGCAAGACCTTGTCTCAAAAAAAATAGGAAAAACTTTGGACTGGATTTAGGATTCTTCCTAAATCAGTGGTGATATTCCCATGAAATAGTGGGAGTACAGACTAGACAACAGTAGGGTAAGAAGGTGTTTAAGTGGAAGCTGAAATGAGAGGGTAAGCAAAAGGAATGGATAGGGCCAGGCACTTAGCTCAGTGGCATAAGCGCCTGCCTTGCAAGCGCATGGTCATGAGTTTGATCCCTGGTGCAAAAAAAAAAAAAAAAAAAATCTTGGAGACATAGGAGTAGGCAGAGAACTCATGAACAAAATACAAGCCACACGGGAAAATACTTCAAATATTTCAAAGAATCAACAAAAAGAATGGATAGTATCCAGTGACAGATAAAACAGAGTTCAGGGTCAAAAGACTAGCTTTTCTCCTTTCTTTCCTTCCATCCAAGATGCCAGCGCTTTTTGTTGGCTCATTCTTTTAAGATGATAGCAACTTACATTTAAACATAAATGAAAAAAGCCAATGAGAGTAGGAGGAGGTGAAAGAGATGAGGAAAACGGATGAGGGGCTGAGCTCTAGGGCACGTGTGGAAGGACCACTTTGGCTTCAGGCAGGAAAAGAGGCACCTCTCCCACCGGGGTGGTGAGAATGCTGGCATAGATGGTTTGAGTAAGAATAAATTGTAAGGAGAAAATTACTAAAAGTCAAAGACCTCTCTTACCTAGTAGTTTGTGTTTTATCTATAATGTTAGCAAAGTCAAGATGGCTTAGTTTTGGCAGTTACAGAAGTGTACTTGTTTGTGTGAGAGCCTGGGAAGCTGAGTTCAACCCCCGGATATTTTGTTTCACGAGGCTGCCAGCCCAAGAAGAAATGGAAAGGCTGGGATGGTTCCTGGTGAGATGGAGTTGAGTGCAAGTGGATCTGCTTTCTTGTGATCTCCTGGACTCCCATCAAGGCAAATCCAGAATTGCCCAGGGGAACTGGACTGGCCTACAGTAAAAGGATTGGGGGCCAGTGAGATAAATAGGCTGATGCTTGGTCTTTGTTCTCTGAGCCTGCAGTCTCATTCCAGACTGTTTTGTCATTGAATTGTCATGTGTGTGGACTTAGGAAAATCATTTCTTTCCTGTGGACCGTAATTGCATCACTCACAATGAGTGATGTCTAGTTTTAGACTGTGATCCTCGCTTCCACCACCATGGAATATGGTGTAGCATAGAATTCTTTGTTTGACCTGATGCTCCCAGCAAGAGTCAGGGCTACCCTGCTCACTGTCTTCATTTGATTTTTATCCATTTGGTGTAATAATAGGTTGAATGATCTTATAGTAAGACAGGTTGGCTAAATATGAATAGCAAATGTTCATAAAGCACATTGGAATTTCACATTAATGCTGTACAAACCTCTTTTGCTGTCTTCCACTTTATTCTTTAGATGCTTTTTCAAAAATATTGACAGTATTCTGAATTATATTTGGAATTTCCTATTCATGGTTTAAAGAAACCTATGTTGAATCTTTTCTTCGTGTGAACAATAGTCTCCTAATTTATCTGTTTTACAATACTGAAGTCTGAAACATGGGGCTTTCTTTGAGGCATGGTAGGATGATGTTGAACTAGCGGGAGCTGTCCTGACAGATGCTGTCCATCTAAGCTCTAGGCTTGGGGTTAAAGCCCAGCGGTGGGGCAGGCCATGCCGTAGAAACTCTCGTGTCTTCAATTAGTGCTCACATAAAGCTTCTCCATGACCCACAGGGAAAGAAAGGTAAAAAAAAGAGCTTTTCCGTCTGATTACCAAGGGAAGGATGAAAAGGACAAAGCAAGAAAGGTAGGGACAAACCAAGCCATTGCATAGGCCTATTTTCTGCCAATAATCTCCCAGGTAACAGCCTCTACCTTGCGAGGGTCTGATTACCCGTTGCTGGCCTCAGACCATAGTATTATTGTTTTAACATTCCTACTTTCCTCTTTATCCCAGCATGAACCGGGTTGTATGGGAGGCTGGGGAAGCTGACCTTGCTTGGGGATAAAAAGATAGTTTAGCACTCAATGATCTTGAAGGCAGACTTGAAAACACAGTGATTAGAAAATAAAGCAGTGAGCCCTGGTAGTGTGTGCCTGTGTAATAATGTGCAGGGCTGCACGGGGTTAGCCTATTGAGTGGGATTCATTTTCATATAACCTCCTCCCTCCCACCAAAGTCTTTGACTTAGTGTTTTTGTTTTCCACTCAGTAATTCATGCACGCTGAACCTGAATCAGTGTAAAAGGACGCTGAGGGTTATTTGAACTGGCATTAAAGAAAAATAACAACAGCAATAATAGGTTAATGGAAACATCATAAATGTTGTGTACAGCTTATTGCTAACCAAATAATGTTGAAAGCCCATTCCTGATACACACAGGCTTCTGTGCTTCATTTCTAAGTGTGCTTAATATTGACTATAGGCACAGCCATATAATAATAAATTATATTGTACCTTCAAATTGTTTAGTTATAAGGTAATTGTTCTATACTCAGTTCAGGGCTAGAGGTCTCACTCACTTTTCTCTGTGGGCAAGTTGGGGGAATGGAATAACCATGCATAGTACAAACTGCGTTGGGCAATGTGTTGGGTTTTCTCTATGTGCTATCACATTTCAACTGCAGGCTGCAGACCCATGAAATAAGAATTACCATGTTCCACGTTTAAAGTAAGAAAGTCAAGAATAATTTCCCAAAGATAAGACACTAGCCAGTTAAGCTGAGAGCTCAGACTTCTAAACTCTCCAGTTTCTACTACACATAGTTTTGCAATGTTGAGTACAGAGTTACCTGCTCAAGCCTCCAGGGATTCAGAAGCAAGATGTGAGCTCTGCCTTATTTACCCTTCCTGTCTCACATTTTCTGCCTCCAGGTTCAGAGTAGAAGTAGATCAGATGTCTAGGCTCTTTGCAATAAAATTAGAAATTTAAAGTAAATTTTTTGGGGCCCAGCAGTTCCCAGGAAATGCATACATATGGTCACAAAAAAACAATAAAAGGATGCTTATAGCAGCCTTAGTCATAATTACTCCAAAATGGAAACTCCCTGAATGCCCAGCAAAAGAGGAATGGATAAATTATGCTCTGTAGTGATAAGAATGAAGGATGTATAAGCGCCTGAACGAATGCTGACATGTTAATACTGGACGAAAGAAGGCAGACATAACATAGTAATTAACTACATGGCTCTATGTCTATAAAATAGAGTAGGCAGATCTCTCTGATACCGTTACGAGTTAGCATAGTGGA